AATAAAAATTAAACCAAGATTTAGAATAATTATCATTTTGATCCATGCGTTGGTAATGAGTGACTGGGCCTCGTGTTATGTTCAACAAATTGGGCCCCGAGGTCAAAAAGGTTAAGAACCCCTGCATTACATCATATTAGGATTTACAATGCCAAATTCATTACAGCTGTAAATGACCATTAGCCAAACAAAATAGCTGAAACTGATGATATTGGGTATGATAGACGTGCAAATTGTTAAAAGGATGGATCAGATGTTTTGAAGTGTGGTTCTATGGACTCAGATAAACTTTAAATGTTACGTTTTAGAGTTAATTTTAATTCTGACTGCACTGAGGAGCTAACATTTAATCCAATCCAAACTCTGTACCCAAACTGATGTTTTTCAAAAAGCAATCTCTAACAGGTGAGATATTATTTGCTCATTACCTTTCTCTAGAACCCTACTTCAGAATGTCTGAAGTATCTCCTTTAAGGCCAAAGAAGCTGAAAAAATCCTTTTAGGGACCATTTTGTCATCACTAAAGAGATGGTTACCTTAAATGCTTAATCAAACTTTACTGATTTTGTTGATTTCAAATAAAAACTGCTTATGAAAATGATTAATAAACTTATTAGTGTTACAAAATAAATTGTTTTATAGAATATGATTTTTTAATAAGTTATTTTAAACTTGTTTTTTTTTTTTTTTTTTTTTTTGTAGTTTTGAAGCATGTCTTTTTAATCTTTTATACCAGATTACAAAGCATAAAAAAGATTGGAATGCACCATACAAACATGTTAAAGTCAGTTTAAATCCTATTTGGAGACTATTTATAGATGTTCAGTTTGTTGCCTTGAGATATTGTTGTAGATAAAAGTTAAGGTTTTCTCCTTTAAAATGAAGTAACACTTTCCCTTCTCTTCAGCTCTTTGCCAACGTGATGCTGTACCTGTGTGCAGCCATCGTGGGGGTGATGTCGTTCTACATGGCAGACAGGAAGTACCGCACGGCGTTTTTGGAAGCTCGTCAGTCTCTGCAGGTGAAACTGACTCTGGAGGAGCAGAGCACCCAGCAGGTGAGGGGAGGATTATATTCTTCTAACCTACTCCTTAACACATTTCTTCACCTAAAAACGAATTATTTCATTACAACGAACACCTCCTTTTATTGTATTTTCATGTGAGAGCACAAGAACCTAAACTTAACTCTTTCAGGCAGACAGACACACAGAAACGCTCACCTGCACTAACACACAAATGAATTAGAGAGGCACTGCCTTATTACTCTGTGTTTACCTTAGATTCAGTCTAATAGGTTGATTAGAGCGACGGTTGTTTTCATCCGTGGCTCTGCCATTAGGGACTTGCATAAATAATGTCTCCTTTGCTTTGGGGGTATCAAATGGAAACATGTTTCATTTGCTGAACATTTTTCATAACTTACGAGGGTTTAGATAAATTTGTTTAACTTGAATTTCTTTCGTTTTGTTTTCATTAATAAAAGCGTGAACACATTCAGAGCAGCTGGTCTCTTGAGAGCCACTAATTAATCTAGTTTGACAAATTATACATGCATATGTAATTAGACACACACGAGTACATTTGTTCCTTTCCCCTTGCTAAACAAACATGACACATTTCCTCTTACTGMTCGTGCAGGAGGAGCTGCTACTGTCTATCCTACCAAAACATATAGCCGACGAGATGCTGCAGGGCATGAAGAACCAGGCCAACCAGAATGAAGTTCAACAGCAGCAGCAGTTCAACACCATGTACATGTACCGCCATGAAAACGTCAGGTCAGGACCGCAAAGTTAGCTCTGTGACCGCCGTCTCTGCAGATAGTGATAGTTTGATGTTGTTTCTGTACTTTGGTTGCAGTATCCTGTTTGCAGACATTGTAGGATTCACCCAGTTATCCTCGGCCTGTAGCGCCCAGGAGCTTGTCAAGCTGCTTAACGAACTGTTTGCTCGTTTTGACAAACTGGCAGCTGTGAGTATCAGGAATGAGTAGAGATTTTTTCCATTACATCTGTAATGGATGGATGGATGGATGGATGGATGGATGGATGATGGGTGGGTGGATAGATGGATAGATGGATGGATGGATGGATGGATGGATGATGGGTGGGTGGATGGATGGATGGATGGATGATGGGTGGGTGGATGGATGGATGGATCGTTGGATGGATGGATGGATGGATGGATGGATGGATGGATGGATGGATGGGTGGATGGATTGGTTGGTATGGATGGATGGATGGATGGATGGATGGGTCGTTTGGTGGAGGGATGGATGGATGGATGGATGGATGGATGGATGGATGGATGGATGGATGGATGGATGGATGGATGGATTGGTTGGTAAGGATGGATGGGTGGATGGATGAATGGATGGATGGATGGATGGATGGATGGATGGATGGATTGATGGATTGGTTGGTTAGGATGGATGGATGGATGGATGGATGGATGGATGGATGGATGGATGGATGGATGGATGGATGGATGGATGGAT